AAATCAGAGCATTAAGTCATTTCAGTTCTCCTGTTGTTGTTAGAATGACATTGTTGTACAAATATTGTAGGAAAAAACAAGGCTAAAATCTAGACACTTTCAAAACAAATCCAGCGATTCCTTGGATTTAATGTAACAGGAGAACAGAATTAGCAGCGGGTGGATTTAATTTCGTGAAAACGATTTGTTTGCACTCAAATTACGATATTGCTGAGAGCTGCTCGTCAGACACGGTCTTCGCTCTCGGGCTTTTCGTTCGCCAGTTACGATCTTCACTCACCTGCTCATTATTCGCCAGTTACGATCTTCACTCTCCTGCTCTTTGTTTGCCAGTTACGGTATTCGGTGATTAAGAGAGCCGAAATGAGTGTAAACCATAACATTTTCACTCATCTCGCAGATCAGCGGAACAGGTCATCTGGCTTGTTGTTGTTATAATAATACTGTTGTAAAAATATTGTTTTTATTGTTGTAGCAAAAACAATGGTGAAATCTTTAAATTTTCAGTACAAATCCGGCAAATCGGGGATTTCATGTAACAGGCGAACAGAATCAGCAGAAGGTGGATTTCATTTCGTGCAAACGAATTTTTCACTCAAAGACCATATTGCTCTGATCAAAGATCAAACTCGTTGTCATTGAGTGAAAATAATCGTTTGCTTTAAAATAAATCTACCTTCTGCTGCTTCTGTTCGCCTGTTACATGAAATCCAGTAATCGCTGGATTTGTACTGAAAATGTAAAGATTTCACCATTGTTTTTGCTACAACAATAAAAACAATATTTTTACAAAAGTATTATTATAACAACAACAAGTAGAGGTGGAGAAACATCGATGCGAACATCGATGACATCGATGTTTTCGAAACACCGGAAACTAGATTTCAGTCTTGTTTTTGCTACAACAAAAACAACATTTTTTTACAACAATGTCATCCTAACAACAACAAAAGAAGAGCCAAAATGAGTTAATGTTCTGCTTTCTGCAATGAGTAAAAATAATGAGTGAAAATGTTGGCATTGAAATTATGGTTTGCACTCATTTGGGCTCTCTTAATCCCCGGAGGCCGTAACTGGCAAACAAAGAGCAGGAGAGCGAAGACCGAAACTGGCAAACAAAGAGCAAGAGAGTGAAGACCGTAACTGGTAAACAAAGAGCAAGAGACGTGCAGCTCTGAGGAATATCGTATTTTGAGTGAAAATATTCGCTTGCACTAAATGAAATCCACCTTCTGCTGCTTCTGTTCTCCTGATGTTTTATAATCGGCTTGCTGATGAATTTGTACTGAAAATGTCAAGATTTAATTAAGCGTTTGACTTTAACTTTTTCAAACAATTTCACTTAAAATTATGAATAAATATTAATATTAAATTAATTATGCACATTTATTAGTTATAGACTTTCAACTTTTAGCTTTAGCTGTCTTTATTGTTTTTATTATTACTTACTATTACTTACCTTTTTATACGCTTGTAGGGTATTATAATTTCAGTCAGAAGTTTGCAACGCAGTGAAGGAGACGTTTCCGACCCTATAAAGTATATATATTCTTGATCAGCATCAACAGCCGAGTCGATCTAGCCGTCCGTCTGTCCGTCTGTCCGTCTGTCTGTCTGTCTGTTTCTACGCAAACTAGTCCCTCAGTTTTAAAGCTATCTGAATGAAACTTTCTATATAGTCTTCTATATACTCTCACTGCTATATATGTCGGAACGAGCCGGATCGGACGACTATATCATATAGCTCCCATACAAATGATCGATCAATTTTTAGAAAAAAAATTTTAACTTGGCTGTTTATCAACATTTTTGCACCATTTTTCAGATATGGCCATTTTATATTATTTCAGAATTTTGGTAAACATTTTATGAAAATCGGACAACTATATCATACAGCTGCCATATAAACGATCGGTAAATGTAGAGAAAATTTAAAGCCGGGAATGCAAAACTGTCTGTCAAACTGTTAACATAATAAGTATAGGTTAAATGTAATGAAACTCTCTTTTGTGAGTGTTGTCAGTATTATAATCTATAATATAAACATCAAAACCAATCTGCAACGGCATGCCGAAGTTAGCTTCCTTTCTTGTTAATTTTAAAATAATGAAGAAGTTTTTTTAATATAAAAAATCCGATTTTATAATACTAAATAATATTTTTCTAAGTGAAGGAATCATTTTCGACCCCATAAACCATATATATTCTTGATCAGCATCAACAGGGGAATCTTTCTAGATATGTCCGGAAGAAATCGATTTTTTGGCCATTTTTGCAAAATTTTATAAGGGGTCATCATTAAAATTAGCAAAAATGGCCAAAAATTTTGATATCTTAAAATTTTTAATTTGGTATGCAATTTTTTTAGGCTTATCAAAACTTACACAAAACCGCTTTCCGAATCGAAATTAATGCATTTTTGGCTTATTTATGATATATTTTAATTTTAACCTGCAAGGGTATACAAACTTTGGCTGGCCAAAGTTAGCTTTCTTTCTTGTTATAATTAATATTTGCAAAATTAACTCTGCTGGCTACGAATACTAACCTATACCGTTGTCCGTTTGCAACCTCTCTGCCGCTCTCTCTCTCTCTCTTCGAACATGCTCGACCGCGCAGGTTCGAACTGGCCAGTGGACGCGGTTGGGCGTGTGTGTGTGCCTGGGTGGCTTGCTGGCAGCGACGCCGGTAGCACGGCATATGTGAGGTTCGGCTCGCAGCAGGATGTGTGTGAGTAGCTGTGCATAGATGTGTGTGGCTGCCAGATGCCAATTGAAGTTTTCGCACATGACAATTGGGGGGGTGGCCAGTGGCGCTGGATTGGTCAGCTCGGACCGAGTGTGCGACCGAGATAGAGGAAGAGAGAGTGAACGAACCTCATCCCTGTCCTGGCGCCACCTAGCGTGCCCCTAAAAAGTAGGCAACGCTTTCGGGCCAGCACGATCGGTTCCCTCTCTTCCGCCCTATTTTCGTGCTGCCTACTTTCAGGCTGCGAGCTGCTATAAAAAAGTACCTCCTATGGAATGCCTCCCATAAACCCACCCTAAGCCGCTTCTTGTCCCTCTTTTTATGGCAAATAAAAGGACTTCCGCTGATTTACAGTTTTTCGCAATTTGTATGTATTTTTTGCTTTTTCGTTTTTCGTATTTTTGTAACACAGACAACTATCTTTTAATTATTAATTTTTAAATTTTGTTTTTCTTTTTGTTTTGTAATTTTTTTGTGTTTTTTGTTTTTTTTTTCGGTTTTGTTTTCTTTTCGATTTGTGTTTCCGTTTCGTATTTATTATTGTTACTTTCAAAAAATTACACACACTTGAAAAATATTTGTTTTGGTTTCTTTGTTATAAATGTTTGAGAATCCAAGCTTTATACTTGATCCTTCGGCCAAAGTGAGACAACAAGAGTTAGCTGGATTTGTTGTTCTCTTCTTGGTTTTATTTTTAGTATAAAGTTTTGCTTGCTTTTCGTTTTTATAGCTACAATTAATTTTCTAAGAATTAACGATAGTTTTAGTGTTGCTTGCTGGCTATGTTTCAATTCGTTTCGGTTTTCGCTTCCGTTTCATTCCACTCTCCCACTGTTTTTGCCTGGAAAAAAGTCTTGAAAATAATCCAGAAAAATAAAAATTAGCCATGAAAATAAAACATAACTCGTGTGGTTTTTGTATTTTTTCTTGAGCTTTTGTTTATTCAGTTTTTGTTGTTGCCATATGCATATATAGTATATAGGGTGTGTGTGTGTGTGTGTGTATGTGTGTCGGGGTTTCTGAAACACATATATGTATATATTTCGCTTAAATTTAGTACAAATTATGCACGGTAAAACTTCCTTGATAATCGGACTATAAATCGCCAATGGCAATGCGATTTTGCTGGAATTAAAATATTTTATAGAAATTCCTGATAAATCGCATTGTCATTGGGATTTCCTCTTATTTTTTTGGTGGGTTTTTTTTTGGGGGTAAAAGGGGAATGTGTGTCCACAAAAAAAAAAAGTAAAAGAAACAAACAAAGTTTAAACTAATGTCCAATATATATATGTATGTGAGTAATTTTTCTGCTAAAAACAAACAATATTAAATATTTAATCATTAATCAAAATGTTCCCTTCTTTGTTTTCTAAGTTTTTGTTTTAAGTTTCCAATTAAATAACGAAAATCAACAGCAAAAAAACAATTTAGTAAAAAAATGCTCGCATTCTCTCAGGGTCCGATTTTTCGCTCAGTGCCTCTGCTGTCTCTTTCGGTTGCCTCTGTCTTTTTTTTTTTGTTTATTTTAATTATTTATATTTCTTTTTCGTTCTCAGTTCTTCAGTCTTCTAAATCTAGTTTTGTTTGTTGTTGTTGTTTCGGTATTTATCTCTTTTTAATTGCTTTTATATCCTTTATATCCCTTATATCCTTCCTTTTATGTATATTCTTTTATGTTTTCTCCTCTCACTTTGAAGTTTTACGTACAAATTTGCAGCTCTCTTACTTCGTTTTCTTCTTATTTCTTTTTTATGCCAATTTTTTAACTCATTTTTCTTGCGTTTCTTTTTCTCGCCGAGCTTAGGACTAAAATTGTTTAAAAAAAATTTGTGTTTTACATTTATATATAATATGTATATATATCGATTTATTTATGTATGTAAAAAAATTTGATTATTTTTCGTTTTTTCTCGTTTTTAAATTACATTTAATAATAGAATTATGTCTAGGCAAAAAAATTGAAATAATAATAATAATAATTGATAAGGGGGAAAAGAAATGGGGGAGAGTCAAGATATATATATATATATTTATATATATATTACGCATAAGTAGAGAATTTTTACAAGTGTTCGTCTTTAGGGCTAGATTTCTAGATTTTCTATAAAAAAAATGTACATCGATGAACAAAATACGCACTTATTCACTCGCAACCACATATACATACATCGTATTCGCATATATATCATATATCTATGTATATATATATATATAGAGATATTAATTAGAGTATAATTTTTGCTTATTTTTGTGTGAATTTTCTGGTTTTAAATATTTTTTTCTGTGTTTTTTTTTTTTGCATTTATATTTAATTTTATATTACTTGCTAGAAAATACACTGGAAAACGTGTGTCCGATTATTACTACACATAGGTATATATATACTATATATATATCTATATTTTAATATAAATTACAAGCGAAAAAAAAAAAAATGTTTAAGGGAGGTTTACGTTTGCGTGTGTGTTGTGGGGGTTGTTTTTAGTTAAAAAAAAAATATTACGCTTTGAATGTTTTAAAATTATATTACATAACGGTTATTGCTTTGGTATTAAATGCCTCTGGTCGTGGTTTGTCGCCTGGAAGGAGCTGGAGCTGGAGCTGGAGCCGAAACTTTTTCACAAAAAGTCCTATGTACAGGGGTCCTAACATACACACGTATCCCTATTGCCAGGGATACATGAATATCTGCTGTATCTTTAGAAGATGCGCGACATGATGCGACTGCGACTGGTCGGCGGCTGCTGCTGCTGCGGCTGCTGCTGCTGCATGGCAGGAGGAGGTGGAGGAAGCGGCCCCGAGGGCGGGGCCAGGGGCATGGGAAAGCCGCCAAAGAGTCATGCCTCCTCCTTCAGCGTTATGGGATGGACGCCGGTCATGCTGGAGGAGGCATTGGAGTCATTATCACCGGACACGCTGCCCGGCAGCGAAAGGTTGAACTGCGGAGGGTAGCCCACCACGCCCATGGGCGACAGTTGCTGCTGCTGTTGCTGCTGCTGCTGCTGACCATGCTGCTGCTGCTGCTGCTGTCCATGCTGCTGCTGCTGGACCGCCTGGGCCGCTGCCGCTGCCTGGAGCTGCTGGGCCGCCGCCTGGGCCGCCTGGGCCGCAGCCACAGCATTGGCAGCCGCTGCCGCCTTGCCCTGATTCACCACACACTTGCGCATGTGTTTCTCCAGCGTTGAGGGCACACTGAAGGGCATATCGCAGAACCGGCAGCGATACACATCCTTGCCCGTCCGCCCGTGCGTCTTCATGTGTCGCGTCAGCTTGGAGCTCTGGGCGCAGGCGTAGGAGCACAGCTCGCACTTGTACGGCTTCTCGCCGGTGTGGCTCCGCCGGTGAACGGTGAGATTGGAGCAGTTCTTGAAGACCTTGCCGCAGAACTCGCAGGTATCGTTCCGCTGGCGGCTCTCCTTCTTGAGCAGCGGTCCCTGTATCAGCGAGTTGGCTGCCCCGCCCAGGCCCAGCGGCTTCAGCTTGAGGTTCTCGAAGAGAGCGGCCTCGTTTCGATGCAGGGCCTGGGACATGCCCCACCAGTCGCCGCCGTCCATCTTCATGCGTTTGCTCAGCTCGAAGGGATTGGGGAAGGGATTGAAGAGGGGCACCTGCGATGGGGCACCGCCAGCAGCCGCCGCGGCGGCGGCATCCTGCTGGAACATGTTGCAATTCTTGGCGAACTCGTCGCGCAATCTCAAGGCAGCCACCGGCAGGCCATTGAGCTTATCCGCAGCAGCGGCACCTCCACCGCTGCGATTATTGTTATCCGCAGCAGCGGCGGCGGCAGCAGCTGCGGCAGCTGCAGCAGCGGCGGCCGCCTCCTTGCGTCCCGACTCCTGCAGGGCCTGCTTGTAGGCCTCACTGTACTGGGCGATATTGGACAGACCAAACTTATCCATAAGCTCACCCACCAGCGAGGTGGCACCCGAGCTGGTCGTCTTGGGACTCTGGCTCTTGCCATCCAAACGATTGCTGACACTGAGGTCCTCCGCCTTGTAGTCCATATCCTCGCACTCATCCAGCTCGTCCTCGTCCTCCTCCTCGCCATCGAGATCACCGTCGGGATCATTGTCTGGGTCATTGTCGCCCATCTCCTCCTCGGACTCATCCGGCATCGGATCCTCATCGTTGTCCGCCTCGTTTGTCTCCAGGGAATCGGCGCCATCGTTGCTGCCATCGTCCTGCTCATCGGCCGGACTGCGATGGACCCGCATGTGCTTCATCAGCTTCTGGATGTGGGAGCACTCAAAGTCGCAGGCGGTGCACTTGTAGGGCTTCTCCCCAGTGTGCGTCCGCTGGTGGATGATCAGATTATTCTCGAAGCGGAACTTTTTGTCGCAGTAATCGCAGGCAAAGCAGTGCTCCGGCTGGAGGAGCTGCTGCTGCTGCTCCTGGCTGCCGCTGTTGTTGTTGTTGCTCGTCTTCGAGGGCGGCGTGCTGGCCGAGCGTGGAGTGCTGGCCAGGATTAAACCGCCCAGGCCTCCATTTTCCGCTCCTCCGGATGCCATCTTCTCAGGCGGGGTGAGGGAATGAGGCCGGGCGGGATGGCCCACCAGTGGCTGCTGCTGGGCGCCGGCGCCGGCGGCGGGCGAGGGGCTCGCAAAGTGCGGCGATTGCTTCTGTCGGGGACTCGGCGAGCTCGAGTTAACAGTGCTGCCAGCTCCAGGGCTTGTTGTGCCCGCAAGCTGACGCAATCGCTGCGAGTAAAAATCCATCTGCTGCGGTTCCAGCTTCAGGGAGGCGCCAGCGGGAGCTGCTCCAGCTCCTGCTCCAGCCACACTGCCGCCCATCAGGCCGGGTGTGAGCTGCTGCTGCTGCGACGGCTGCTGCTGCTGCTGGGATTGTTGCTGCTGCAGGTTCTGTGATTGCTGTTGCACGCTTTGTTGCTGCTGCTGTTGCTGCTGCTGCTGCTGCTGGGAGCTGAGGGACACTGGAGGTAGGGCAGCCGGGGGAACTGAGCCACGCTGACTGCCACTGCTGCTGGACGACGGCGGACGCGGCTCCTGCACTTGGACACCTCCATTGAAGGCCTGCGCCTGGGCAGCAGCCGCGGCGGCGGCCAGATTGAAGCCATGATGACGGAACTGCTCGCTCACCAGCTGCTCCATTCGGTAATGATCGGCGGGCGAGGGGCGCCCGAAGAGGGGGGCCACCGTAGGAACTACATTGCCGGGCAGCGGCATGCGCAACAGCTGGAAGGGATTGGCATGCATGGCCTCTGGTGGCGGCAGCAACGGATGATGCCTCATTCCCGCGGCCATGGCCGAGGCCAGGTTTTCACGCTGCTGTTGCTGTACGCGCTGCTGCTGCTGCTGCTGCGCCGCCTGCTGCTGCTGCTGTTGCACTTGCTGCAGCTGCAATTGCTGCTGTTGATGCTGGGGCGATCCAATGCTGTTGGTGCTGCTGTTGTTGCTGCCAACGCTGGTATTTACCAGCGAGTTGGAGCAGGCGGAGCTCACGGAGCTGGAGAGGATGCCAGTTGCTGCCGGGCTGCTCCTCTTGGGACTGGGACTCATCGCCGTGGCTGGCTGTGGACTCGCCAGGCCGGAGGCGGCGGCAGCAGCAGCTGCTGCTGCGGCGGCCAGAGCCAAAGCGCTGCTGTTTAGAGCCGCCGGGGTGGCCACCGTCAAGGTGGCACCATTGCCATTGCCGCCCGGACTCTCCACGTAGATCTTGACGCCGTGCGAGTGCTGGACATGCTGGATGAGGCGCCAGGCGGAGGTGTAGCGGGTCTTGCAGGTGGAGCAGGTGTAGTTGCTGGGCTCTGCAAAGATTAAAACAACAAACAAGAGGCTTTAATTAGTAATTTATCGTTTTAAAAACATTCTTAAATATAAATAATAAAATGTTTTATAAACTATTCTCGATTAAAAATAATTTGTAAACCCTTTAAAACCTTATAAAATATTAGTTTAATAAGAAATTAAGCTTAATGCCGTCTTTAATTATTTTGTAAACAAATTTGCACATTTAATACGAAAGGAAATCAAGGTTTTAATCACTGATTTTGGCCACTAAATGCTTTTTCCTGGCCAAATACGAACGGCAAAGAGGTTGCCTGGCAATTTCGTTATTAATTATTAATGAGCTGGGTGGGGGGGGGGGGGCAGAGCCAGCCATACAGGATGTGTTAGCTAGGAGCCAGGACGAGGCCAGGATGAGGCCAGGACGAGGCGAGTATTTATTTATTTATTGATTTTGCAGCGGTTGGCATGCCAAAATGCGCCAGGACACGCATTACATGCGGACGGAGATTGCCAATATTGCCAAGGATATTGCCCCCTCTGCACACACATACACACACACAGGGCACACAGGGCACACAGGACACACATGTGTGTCCTTTTTAGTTTTCTGGCCGCGTTGTTGCGGTTTTGTCGCGACATTTGTTAATTTGCCATGGCGGAAATGGCAGCCGCCAACCACCCATGTCCTGCGACACATGTCCACCCCCACCCCACCCCTTGAGCAACAGATGTAAAATTGGAAAATTTATGAAAAATGTGCGGGACACTTTCGAAGATAGCCAAGTATATTTTCTCTGTTTTTTTTTTTTTTTTACTTTTTATAATAAATAAAAATGGAAAGCGAATGGCAGGAAGGTTGCTCCTTCGGCCACATGTCGCCAGCAAGGACAACAAGGTGTTAATGCCTCGCAAGGATAAAGAGGAACTACCCCCGTGACTATGACGACGTTCTCTGCATTTAAATGACGCTTTAAAAAACGAAACGAACGCACGAAATGAAAATTTAACCGAAAATTATCCGAAATAAATGGAAAATGGAAGCGAGGCGGACACGCTCCACACTTTTCCTTTTTTTTTTCGAAGGAATATATATATTTTTATGGCTTCGAGGGAGGCTTCTTCCACTGTGTCGCTTCCCTCAGCTTCCTGTCAAAGGTGAGCCGTGTTTAACATGATTTCGTCGCGACCCTTTTGGCAGGCAGGATCAAGGATCGCCCAGAGATCGCTAGAGATCGGGGTAGCTCGATGCCCGCATGCCGCAGGAAATGCAAATGAATCTGACAGATAACCGAAGGGTTGCTGGTTCGTTAACAATAAAAAAGATGCGAGCTAAAGAGGTAAAAGTTGTCGAAAAACATCAGGCATTTATCCTTTTGGATCGCAGCTCGCGATGCGCACGCGCTTCGCCTTAATAATTATGTGGAAAATAATACCCGAAAAAAGGGGAGAACAAAAAAATACAACAAAACAAACAGAAAGGATCGGAAGCCTATGAAAAAGGATGCGCCAGGACGCGGGTTTGGCACGTTCTACTGATTTCTGTACAACAGCTGTCGGAAATATTCAGTTTTTTTTTGCTTCTATTTGAATACAATTAAGTGCAAAATAAATAATTAAATAAATTTTTAAATAATAGAAAATAAAAACAAATAAAAAAAAAATTAGAAATAATATATAAATATTATTTTGGCAGATATTTTACTTATTTTTCGGCCTTATATATCCCCATTTAATTCTTTTAAATTCCTGTTTTTCTTACATTTCCTAGAACCTTTCTTTTACATTTCCCTTACTTTCCTATCCCCCTTTTCTCTCTCTGTGCTTTTCCCAAGGACAAAGGCCGGATGTCTTCTAGCACCGGATATGCCAAATTGACCGCCAGGAAGTGCAGTATAGCAGGGCCAACAGTGCGTATGGACAATGCCAGCGGGTGGTCCTTGCAGAGAAAATAAATCTACAAAAATAAAAGTAGAAGCAAAAAAAAAAAAAAAGGGTTGCCCTGTAATGGGATAATTGTTGCAGCAGAGCAACCCCGAGGATGCTGGCTCCATGCAAAATCCCTTCTAAGCTCTCCGTTCCTTCTCCTCTCTCTCTCTCCGTTTTTTTTTCCGCCTTTTACACAAAGGACCCGGGAGCATCTAATCCTTGAACGTGAAATTGCATGAGCCGAGGGCATTAGCCATTGATTTCGACCATTCGACCGACCATTCCGGCGATGCCGGCGACTGCCTGGGCTGGCTTAGTGCCAGCATGAGTCAATAATTGAATGGCCAAAAGTTGCGGTAACCCTTAGCCCGTAACCTGTAAGCCGTAGCCCTTAGCCCTTAACCCTTAACCCGTAACCCACTCATGCCGCACGCTCTGATGGTGTTTCATTGTCGCTGCGGTCGCGACACGCTGTGTCCCACAAAAAAAAAAGAAATATATATATATATATATATATACTTGGATAATTAACACACGCTGACAGGTGGGAAAAAGTTCATGTCCTGGCGCAAGGATATATAGGATATGTATGTATTCTTTTGCAACAAATATCCATTTTGTTGACAGTTGTTCAGCTCGCTTTTTTAATGTATATTCCGACGGACGGATGACTGACTGGGTTGCCATGCCCACCAGCTCCATATTTATAATTACCAAATGGCCATTGTTGGCCCGAAAAGGAGCCAAGGAGGGGGAGAGGGGGTCGAGCCGGCAAGGGGGGCGGGGAGTTGGGTTCGACAGGCGGCGAAAGTGGGGGAAAAAAAAGCGGCGAAAACAATGCGTAATTAACGCAGATACTTCGTCGTTGTATCTGTATCTGTAAATGTATCTGCATCTGTATTTGTTTCCAGTATTTGTATCTGTATCTGCATTTGTATCTGTATCTGTATCTGTATCTGCGACTTGTCAGTTGAGAGGCATTGTCAGAGTCAAACAACTTTTTTGTTGTTGTTATTTTCTTTTTTTTTTTGTCAGTGACTTTTGTTGTCTTCTTGTTCGTGTCAAAAGCGCAAAAGTTCAAGGGTTAAATTGGCCTGGTCGCGCCGCGTATGTGTAGCTGTTTAACCCTTACCCCCTGCCCCTAACACTGAGCGAAAATTTTGAAAATTCTCTTCTGGCTTACTTTGGGATTTAAATGGGTTTTAATGATTTTTGTTAAATTAATTTAAAATTATTTAATGCATGTTTTGTTGTTCATTTTAATAGCTTTTATTTTATTTTATATTTTTAAATAATTTTTCTCCAAAATCCTTTTTCAAATTAATTTTATATCCTTTTTCAAATTAAACTTTCAATGAATTTCAAACGGTTCTTAATGTTTTTCTTATTTTCTTAAGTTCTTTTTATTAAATTTTGTTTTGTTTTATAAATTTCAAATATGTTTATTTATTTAAAAATATTTTTAAAAAATATTTCCTTAAACTTTCCTTTTTAAAATAATTGTAAAACTACTTTTAAAATATTTGTCCCCCTTCTTACTTATTAGATTTATAAAAATTAAATGTTCAAGTATTTGTAAGTACCCTTTTCTCTCTGTGCTTTAATAGATGGAGGCTGCATTATGTATATTTTAAGGACTTTTAAGGCCTATGCTGAATATGTTTGCAAGTCAATCGCTTTGGCGTTGACACGCGACCTTCGCCGCTGTTTACCTGAGTGACCTTTGACCCGGCACCTCCTGCACAACCCCCCTCAAAGGCCCCTTCCCTCCCCCCTGCCTGGCACGTGTCCAAGTTTCAAAAAGAAATGTGTGTACTTTTTTCCATGCAGAAAAATCTCTCCCACTGACCGAGGGTCTCTTCGGTCCTTTGGTCCTTTTGGTCCTTTTGGTTCTGTGTGCGCGCTTTTGTGCGTGTGTCAAGTCCAGTGCGAGGTCCTTTGTCCAGTCAAGTGGTCCTGTTTCCCCTACCCCTACCCCTTGCCCTCTTGCTTTGCACTCCTTTTTTGTAGCTGTTGTTGTTGTTGTTGTTGTTGTTGTAGAGGACATTCCTTGGCTGTTTTTGAGGCATTCAAATTACCCTCGAGGGCAGCTTCGGAGCTGAGCTTTGTTGTCCTGCCTGCCTGGTTGCCCTCCTGCATGCAGCTTCGTCCTTTTTTTTTTTTTTTAATAGCTGTCTTTGGCTTTTCATCAGCATTTCGCATTGAAATGTCAAAGTCAAAGGGCCAGAGAGAGAGAGAGAGCAGGAGAGCAGTCGTCCTGCAGCAGGGGCTTCGATTGTCACGCTGTCCGAGCGAGTGTCCTTCCTGCAGTTTATCAGCAGGGCTTTGAAGTCCTTGATGCCCGCAGTGTCCGCGCTTTTTCTACATATTTTTTTTCCCGGATTTCGGTTTTTGGTTTTTGGATTTCTTTTTTTTTTGTTTTTGTTTTGTGCGGGAGAGGGGGTTCATAATGCAGCTGCAGCTTATCGCCGAGGGCCCGCGGCCCGATCAGCATTCTATATATGCACACATATAGCCCTGACATCAAACACATTTTTTCCACTGCGGGGCGGAATTTTAATTTTGCCACCCAAAAATGCGTGGAAGGAGGGAGGGTCGAAAAGCAAAGCAAGGACTCACCTGTGTGGACTGTGTTGGCCTCGGCATCGACCAGCTCCATTTTGGGCCGCTTGGCCGCCGACTGTTCGCGCTTCTCCTCCTCCTCCTCATCCTCCTCCATCTCCTCGTCCTCCTGCTCCTCGAGGAGAGCCTGCTCCTGCCGTTGCTGCTCCTCGTAGGGCTCCTGCTTGACCTTGGCTGGATCCTGGTCAAGATCCTCGCCGCAGCTAATGTCGCCGGTGGACTGACGCTCGATGGCCGCTGGACTCGCAGGACCGGCATTCGAGTCCAAGGTGGTGGTGGTGGTGGCCGCCGTTTCGCTGTCCTTGGGCGTGGTATTGTCGTTTTCTAAAATATCAAATAAATCAAATTGATATTATTACAAGCCCCAAGGACTCTTTTGGGTTAGGACCTACCATCTACTAGCCGCTTGGGCGTGCTGCTGGCTCCATCCGCCAGCAAATCCGCCGGACTCGGTGGTGGTGTGTGTATCCTCGAACCGCTGGCCGTGCTGCTGGCCGCCGCTGCTGCCGCTGCTGCTGCTGCCGCCGCTGCCGTGGCTGCCGCTGCCGCGGATGCATTTGCTCCTGCTGCTCCTGCTCCTCCACCCGGTAGGGTCTTGCGGGCGGATATGGGGGCAGAAATCGAGGGCCGGCGATTGACCAGACTCAGTGGGCGACCCTCCTCCGCATCGCGATCCATTTGCGGATTCTGGGTGGCGCACTGGCCATAGTTCTCCTTGTTGCACTGCAGCACCTTGTGCTGGATGAACTTAACAATGTCCGAGAGGGCGAAAGCCTTCTGGCAGGCGCCGCACGTGAGGATGTCCTGCGTGGCCACGGCATCGTTCTCTGTGGAGTCGGAATCTGTGGAAAAAGGTGGGTTTTTGTGATTAGTAAGAGGGTTTTGTATAGAAAATCTTTAATTTTTTATATATATTTCCTAGTAAAAATAAAAAAAATAGATTTTATTTCGTCTTGAGAGTTCTTGTTTAATCTTTTTTACTGGTTTAAAATTTAAATAATATTTTTTTATTAATAAAAACATCTAAAAAACGTATTAAGATACATCTCAGACAAAATTTCCTTGCTAGAATCAAATAAAGAGATTTTAAATCCCTTTCCCAGCTGCCCAAGAGTAGGCTATGCTATTCCCTAGCTTTTAAGAACCGCTAATGGGGGATTCCCTGATTTATTTAGTTCCCTTTTCTACACCATCTAATTCGCAGGCTCTCAATTCTGGGCCACTTTTATGGGGGACCCCATCAATTTCGGCTTCATTTCCCCGCCCCCCCCCGCTAAAAGTATTCGCGGAATTGAATCCGTGCGGCTCCTTGTCACATTTTTATGGCCTGTCCTTCGCTTCATTAATTGTTCGCACAGTGTATTTACATATGGCCAGATAAGCAAATATATATACACAGAGAAACCCGAAAAACCGATAACCGAGAAAGCCTCGAAGCCGAATGCCAATCTCCATGCACTTTAATTTATTTGCCGGGTAACACAAAACAATAAAAATCGTGGAACCCCCCAACCCCTGGTTTATTTGCATATGTGGCAAGGATTTTCTGGTGGTGGTGGATTGATTCCGATTCCGATTCGGATTCGGATTTGGATTTTCCCTCCTCCCATGACCATAAATTCCAGTAGCAGCACACATTCTCTGCAATTAATTCGGGGCGTTCGGCTGGGCTGCGGTTGTCATGGCTTATCTCTGGCCCAGAAATTAGCAACACCAGGCGAAAATATACAAATATACAAATATACATGAATAAATAACAGGTTGGCTGATAAGTCCCCGGTCTAACAAAGAAAAACACATTTTTTTGTCAAAATTCGTTATTATTATTTAACATAGTTCCCTTCAAGAGCGATACAACGATTATAAAGACCTTCCAATTTTTTGATACCATTTTGGTAGTACTCCTTCGGTTTTGCCTCAAAATAGGCCTCAGTTTCGGCGATCACCTCTTCATTGCAGCCAAATTTTTCCCTGCGGGCATCCTTTTGAGGTCTGAGAAAAAGAAAAAGTCGCTGGGGGCCAGATCTGGAGAATACGGTGGGTGTGGAAGCAATTCGAAGCCCAATTCATGAATTTTTGCCATCGTTGTCAATGACTTGTGGCACGGTTGTTTTTGGTCAAATGTGAGCTCGCGCGGCACCCATTTTGCACAGAGCTTCCGCATATCCAAATGTTGATGAATGATATGACCAACACGTTCCTTTGATACTTTAAGGCCTATGCTATCTCGATCAACTTTATTTTACGGTCATTCAAAATCATTTTGTGGATTTTTTTGATGTTTTCGACGGTAACCACCTCTTTCGGGCGCCCACTGCGTTCACCGTCCTCCGTGCTCATTTCACCACGATTGAATTTTGCATACCAATCAATTATTGTTGATTTCCCTACGGCAGACTCCGGAAACTTATTATCAAGCCAAGTTTTCGCTTCCACTGTATTTTTTCCCTTCAGAAAACAGTATTTTATCAAAACACGACATTCCTTTTTTTCAAATTTTTTCACAATAACAAAAGTTGCTTCACAAAAGACGCTCTATCTCACAAACTAATTGACTGACAGACGTCAAATTTTGAGACGAATCATTTAAAGGTTAGTACTATATAAAAATAATATGCATTCAATACTAGCGACGTCATCTATGTGTCAGACCGGGGACTTATCAGCCAACCTGTTATATGGTGTAGATCCTGTGCGGGAAGGACCACGAACTATGAGAGCAACTTGTAAGCCCCGAAGGCAGTTCAACTTTTGTTTTCCCCGATATTCCCATCGACAGGACTTGATTGACCAAAAGGAGGTGGGTGGGTGGTGGAAATATCCAACGACATGTATATAAATATATGAATATATATCGGGTAGTCCATGGAGAACGGAAGGACATCATAGCCGCAGGACACACGCAGGCACACAAAAAAGTTGAAATCGAAAATGCACAAGTTTTTATTTTGTTTTTTTTTTCGGTCAAGCAGGGGAGTTTATCAACTTTTATCTTTGCTCAATCCACTTTTTTATTTATTTTTAGTTTTATTTGCTAGGATGTCTCTCTATAACTCTATATGTAACTCTATATAATTTTAAATAAATATAAAAAGGTGGTCTTGTAAAAATTAAGGAATGAAAACAATTTGAAATCGCCTTAAAAACTGCCCAAAAATAGGCAATTATATTTTTAAATGGAAAAATTTAATTTTATTTCATTTTTGTGATATTAAAAAGACTTTATTTAGTAGAAAAAGTATTGAAGCTTTGCTTTTTAATTTTCTTTAACTTTTAACAATTTATTTATTAATTTATTGTGCATTTAATATTATTTTCCCCTTGAAATCTAATGTTTATTACATCAATTTAAAGCTACAGCCTATAGACCATTTTTTATCCCTCAATTGCCAGACTTTCGTCGAGGACATCATCCTCAATTACAGGACAGGCGGCACACACACAGTTGTCAATTAGGAAATAGATCTATGAATTATTGACTCCCTGTCGCTTTGCCACTTGTCCTTTTTTTATTATTTCTGTGGGTGTTATTTTTTTTTTGTTCTCTTTTTTTTTTTTTTTGTGTCCATTCCGGAGGGCAGTTTGAGCAATTTGCGGTTTGCCCGGGTCCAAACAATAACTAATGCGCCCTAAGCGGGGATATCCTCCTCCTCCTCCGCCTCCTCCCTCTGACTTTTCCCTTGTCCGTGACCGCTGCTTTCCCTGCTTTTCTCTGCCTTTCCCCTGCCTTTTCCCTCCTCCTCCTCCTTTTCTTTTTTTATCAATTGATTGTCCTGCTTCTGGGGTGACACACATATGAACACGATGTTGCCGTAATTTCTGCTGATTGCCTGGGTGGCCACGCTCAATTTTCGCTTCAATTTTCCCCTAGTTTTCCTTCTTTTTTTTCTGTAAAAAGAATATGTTTTCTGTTATTTTTTTTTCGCCCATTTTCCAACTGATTATTGTGGTATTTATTGATTGGCCAGTCACGGCAATTGGCCAGGCCCAAAAAGCAGGTAAGAGCCCAGGCAACTCACCTTTGGCTATTACCTGTTCTTCTTTTTTGTTTTTGTTTCTGTTTCTGTTTCAGAGGCGTGGCCAAGCGTATGAAACGGGGGGCGTTGCCCGATATTTGCCTAAGCGATTAGATTAGATGTTTGCCCGGCAGATTAGCAGAAAGACAGACTGCAAGTTGGGTCCTTATTTATATTTATAAAGAGAAAACTTATTGACAGCATGCACAATATTGCGCCAGCTGAAGAGGGTTAATTTGTGTGTGTGGGAGGGGGGTTAAGCAGCAGCAGCAGCAGCAGCTGTCTGGCTGGCTGGCTGGCCGAGAAAAAAGGTGAAAGGGTGCCAGGATTCGGTAGTGTGTGTGTGTTGTGAAACTGTCAAACGTGTCAGAGTCGCCTGACAAGTGTCAACAGAGTCCTTGCCAAATAGATTTCATAAAAGAATGCCAGCTGAAGTCAGTCATAAATTGCATTAACCCCTTTTTTTGTTCAGGCAAATCGAATGGGATTGAGGCGATTAAATATATAAGAGTTAATATATTGGGTGTTTGTTTATAAATAATATTTAATATTTATTTAGAGAAGAGAATCTTCTAGAAAAAAAAACAACAAGAGATCTTTAAGCTTAATTTATAATTTTCTAAACCTCTCTTTAATCTCTATTTATTTTATTTAATATAATTTATATAATTTAACCTCTCTTACATTAAACTCAACCTCTAAATACTTTCTATTTCCACAAATAAAATCTTAATATAAAAATACATCTCCCCAGACTTGCATTTCTTTTTCCTTAATGAAGACCCTTGCAAGTTGTTCCATATTTATGGCCTAGTGTGATGTCATTGGCATATATATATACTTGATCCGAGGCCCCTCCCCCTTTTGGCCAGGATATGCGTAATTAATTCAGCAGCTGCTGCTGTTCGGCTCTGGGGAAAATAAATTGAAGTGCGTCGATTTGTTAACCGCGCAGCTTAACTCAAATATTTACGAGCTCCGAAAGCCCTCCTGGCCATTTAATGCAAGCCTCCGGCTATTAATATATATATATATCTGGTTCTATATATATCTGGCTAGTACTACAAACATACATACATATATCTGTGTAGGACAATTAAGAATTAACATATTAATAGAAGTTTTGCGCAAATTATCAGGACACAAGGAAAATATGAAAGCGAGTGGGGGGGAAAGTCTTGGTCCTTTTCTCCCTCTTGTACTTTTGTTATTTATAACGTTCTCGTGTTATTGACTGTTTTTCGTGGGGAGGGCGTGGCAAGCCGAAAACAATACGTTGATTGTGCTAATTTATGCCCCCATCCTGGCGCACACACACACACGCACACCCGAAGGATTCGGTTTTATGGCCAAAAGGTTACGGTTTGGGGGGGCGGCCATAAAAACCAGGCAGAAAGGCAGCAGCCGCCACATGGTCGTCCTGTTTTTAGGTGCTCGTACCCGAATGAAAAATGGCGTCAGCCAGGAAAAACTGGACCAAAATATAGGTTGGGGTGGAGGGTTGAATAGGGAAACTTAAGCGCCCTTTAAGGACTCTCAGAACAGGCGAAATTCAGCCACGGAAAAGCTTAAGGGAAACAGGTAATTTTTTAGAATTAAAAAATTAATAAATTAAAATTAAACAAGGAATTCAATTGCTCTACTTCATTGACGGCTTATTAAATAAAAAAAAACACACAAAAGAAAATATTAATAACGAATGCCCCGAAAAATGCTGAGTAAATATTTAAAGGCAACAACCGTTGCTTTTTTTATTTATTTATTTTTTTTTGGCCAACTCATTAAAAACTTTAACGGCGACAAAAAAAACAAACCGAAAAAAAAGG